TAAATTGGAAATTTTGGTATTTCTAAAAAGAAATCTTCGATATATTAATGTTAAATATTATTTAATATTTATTTCAAATTTCATATATATTTGTTTATTACTTATTATGTATATAGATTAATGTATTACTTATTAAGAGTGATTTAACAATAAAAATATTTTATTGAATTGAATATAAACTATAATTAACTGATCATTATAATATATTTAAATGATATAAGTTATGGTATAGTTAATTATAGATGTTATACTAATAAAAAGTATATTAAAAATTAAAACCATTGGTATCTTTACAGAATACAAAATTAAATATGATATCGGATCGGTAATCGGCCGATATCAATATAATATTGAATATCGGATCGGATCGGCCTCTAAAAAGTAGTATACCCCTACTTTATTTTAATTAAAATTATTATTTATGTATTATGCAGTAATTTTAGGTAAATCTTTAATTATTATATATTTTAATAGCAATATTAATGTTATATGGTAAATTATAAAAGTAAATAAAATATGTTCATAAATGAATGCATATAATTAAATTTGATATTTCGATTAATTCATTCTAGAAACTATCTTTCTGTCAAATTTTTTTATGGATTCAACTGAGCTATTATCATTTTATTTTATATTTTTAATTAATCGTAAGTTGTAACTAATTTTCCAGCAGTCAAAGCTTTAAATCGAGTTCAACTCTATCTTTAAATATCCCAATACAGACTAATTTCTATTCGAAGAGAACTTGAAAGGATTGCTATCCGTGATACAAACCCTTCGATAAAAAAAAAGTCAAATGGATCAGGGTTCAGAAAAGGAATAAAATTTTAAAAAAGGTTCGCCCAGGTTCAGGGTTTGGAGAATATAATGAAATATTGACAAAACAGCAATTTTTTTTCATTTTTTTTTATGCTCCATATAAATACACATATTAATCGCATTTATATAACATCTTCTAAAACGTCATCTTTTAGATTTTCACACATATCTGATAATATGAATTTCTAAAAAAAATGCAAGTTATACGCTGACCTAAAAATAGCTATCTTTATAATACTTATAAATTATTGCACCTGTGTTGCTGGCATACCATGATGATTCTAGATGGTATATATAGTTCTGGATATATTGAAAAATTTTCTTCCCACAATTTTAAAATATTTGCATCTTATTTATTTTCTTAACCTGTGAGAACTTTTCCATTAAAGATGTAATAGGATGTATGGTTACTTTTTCATCTTATGATAATTTTTTTTCTCTATCTAAAAGTAAATTTTCAAAGTCATCAACGGTTTTATCATTATTATCAATACATCCAGTAGATGTGGTAGTCGCTTCCAATATGTTGTAAAGAGAGTATTACTTATACTATAATAATTCCTTAAGATGGTCTTTAGTCATCTGTTTTTGCTCAATACTAATTGAACTTAATCCTAAGCTGTTTTGCAAATAGTTTGGCTATAGAATTTTCATGGTTTACGATATTTAATATGAAAAGAACTAGCTAATTTTTCAAAATCTAATCGCTATTTAACCCATATATGCCATATAAACAAAACTGTTCTAATTAAAATCTTAGTGTTGTTATTTTTGGATGTTCCTATACACTAGTAAGGTCCTTTATTTGATTCCAATCATATTTAGACGATTAAGATCTAAACAGAAATCTTTCAATCATCGTTCTAACATCATATAAACTGAGGACTAGAGTTTTGTGCAATCCAATATTGCCATTAGCCTTTTCATTGTTCTTAATATTCTAATAATTTTGGGATTTCTTAAATATTTTACAATATTCCTTACTTTATCAATAGATTTAACTTTTCACAGAATCATTAACAGCTAAGGGGAGAGCATGGGCTGCACACCTAATGCAATATAAATTGATGGATACATCTTCTATCATTCCCTCTAAATTAATTACATGTCATCATCAACATCGTCCATCTCCACAAAATTCCAAATATTTCAATTTCTAAAATTGATATAAAAGAAGATAAGCAACGTATCCTTATTATATAACATATTAATAAATTATCATTTATAACAAAATATTATTACTTGCACTTAAAATTCATATTTTTTCAAAATTGATATAAATTTTAAAAAAGTTAAGTAACGTAGCATAAAGTGTCATTTAAAATAATATATTACCCATAAAATGGAAGTATTAGAATTGAAAAATGTGAGAAAAAATTTTTTAATTTATTTTTTTTAATATTATATTTTTAGTATTTTTCGACACTACCCTCCATTTTAAAACGGCTCTAGGTTTGGATTCAGCAAAGATATGAGAATTCGGGATCCGAGTGCCCATTTACTATATTTGTTACTTCCCTTAAAGGGCAAGGTAAAAAAAAAGTCCCTGGGTAGCGACATCCGACTAATGTCTATAGATTCTATCTAGGTTTATTAAAAAAATATTCGATATTTGATAACAAATTATTTGATTCCAATAATAATTTTCAAAAATAACTTGACGAATAATAAATTTAATCGTAGATTTTAGTAAATATTAAATTTATTCGTTAATTTCAGGATTAAAAGTCAAGTGCAACTAGGCCAGGCTCGTGGGAAAATTTTTTTAGGCTGCGCCATAACTTGTTTAAAATATTTTTACGAGCCGAGCCGGAGTTTCGTATGTTTTTAATGCTTATAATTAGGCAAATTTATGTCGTCCTTTATAAAAAAAAAAGGGCCAGGTTGAAGAACTTATTCATAAAATATTTGAAGAGGTGAGCCGGGAAAAAGTATTTATGGGCAGGGTCGAAAACTCCGATAGAAATTTTCCAAGGGCCGATTCAGACCAAGTCGACGTCTATTTAGAATTATTTGGAAATATCAGCAATTAATTTTTTAATTAGCCACTCTAATCAAATACTTATATATTTTTTCTGACACTTTCATAAATTTTAATTGTGATAGTCACTCCTAAAACTAAATGTTTTATACACTCAGTAGGAGAGGAAATAATTGAGTCTTTTTTTAACATCTTGTAAGCGTCTATTTTTATACTTAAATTTGATATCAAAAATCGCGTGTCTCTAAAAAGGAGAAACAATTAGGAAAACTTTATGCCTGAAATAATTGCTTTTTTTTAAATAAAGTTATTATGTAATTACAATTAAATATTTTTATTTTGTATTTTACGTACGATTAGATAAATTATTTTGTTCACTAAATAAAATATCTGAAAAATATTAGTTTAAAAAACTAATCGTTATTCGTATTATGAATAATATATTATTCGATTTTCTTATTAAAGATATCGCTTTTACATTAAAAATTTAATATATCAGTTAAAAAGTGATTATGACCAACCTGAAGAAATCTTAGTTCCTTTATTATGTCAAAAGCTTCATCGAATTCATTATTCTTAAGATTTCCACCTTTATATCGAAGATATAATAAGTAGGTAGAGCATAATGGAACTGTTGTATTGATATATTTTTTAAAACTTATTTTAAAAATATTGTCTTTTCTATTTTTTTCTGAAGATATTGGACCTTAGCACGATTGAATAATATGCAATTATAAAGATAACTCATATTTTTTACGTGCCTCAAAATAGATTTATTCTTGATCATAGCAAACAGCAAAGACATATCTAACAGCTGAGATATATTTAAAACAACTCTTTGTAGTTGTTGAGACATTTTATTTTATAAGGGAAACCTACCTTGAGCTATATTGATTTCTAGTGAGATTATAATTATTATTTTTTTAAATTGATAGTGTGAATTAAAAAAAAGACCGCCCGTTAAAAATCTCCGAATATTTCCAAAGGCAATTATATAAGAGAGGTCTCGCTGTTTTCGACTTAATAAATAATTAAATGGAGCGTATTCTTTTAAAATTAATATAAGGAATTTCATAACTTTTTTTTTAGTATTATCTTATTTATTGGTTATTTTCCTTTTTGATTTCAAGCCAGAGTTGTTATGATGGAATAAAATCGATTTGAGATGTAATTGGTAAAATATTGTCCCCTTAAGTTGAGTAGACGGTCGTTATTTAGATTCCATTCTTTGTTGATTTGAGCTACTGTAAAAAATCATTATATTTTATTAATATCCTTTTTAAGGCAGTTTAGGGATCAAATTCGTTAAGGGTATCAGGACTATAGCAAGGCACATAATACAACTGTTTAATATTGTTATTTAATTCAATCAAATGGGTATGACAATAACTATGGAATAGATTTAATAATAAAATAACATTTAAAGTTGGCTATATTTGATTGGTCAAATAAACTTGATTGATTGACCATATTTAACTAGTAATATTCATTATTGGGGGAGAGAGGAGGTGAAGGGGGATAATTTTTATTAGCTTAGAAAATATATATGAAAAATTCCTTTGGCCAAGAAGGAATTCTTACCCTTTAGTCTATAAAACTTTATGTTTATAGAGAAAAATGACGTTTTTTTAAATAAACAGACAAGGAAATAAATTAAATAATGGGCTAAAATATGTAAATCAAGCAGAATAGCACAAAAATCTTGGGAATAAAAAATTTTATGGGTCCCTCCCAATAATTTGAGACCCCTCTGTAACATTTTGGCTTGATCCCACCTGTTCCATTTTATCAGTGGAATGAATCAAAGTGCATACATTAATTTTAAGAATCTCAAACCTTTTTATACTAAAATTTTGTGATTGATTTACAATACATAAAAATCTAAGATATTCATAAAAAATAATTACATTAAAAGGAATATTTGTGTAATAATTTAAATAAAATATAAATTTTTTTTATATCTAAATAACCATATTAGTTGAAAATTTCTAAAAATAGCTTATAATTTATGTTTATAGAAAATAAATTATTTTTAAAATCCTAATATCCCTAAAGGTTTAAACATTATTTAGCTTTTATACTGAAATAATGAATATTTTTGCATAAAAATTTACATATTATAGCAAATAATTGAGCATTGATAAGCATAGCTAGCAGTAAAATTATTATCTTTTATAAAGTTTTATATATTTAATATTACCCATCTTTTTCCTCCAAAATATTGTCACTTGAAGTAGAATTCATCTTTCTTTGTTTTAAATTGTTCCAAAAATCAAATTCTTGAGATTTATTTAACAAATTAATTTGCTGGAGATTGTTGTTTAGATCATTATATATTGATTCATTATTAAGCTGTTCATTATATAAAATTTCAGAATTTGATGGTGAAAATATATTAGAGTTAATATTTTCTTCTATGATATCATAACTTCTTTGTCGCTGATGATTCATTGCCTTATTTTTCCTATCTTTCAATCTTAAAGTTGCAAGATTTAAATCTTGAATAAGTGTGGCTGGAGAGGAGTGTGCTCTAAAATGAATTGCAGATGGCATAAGTGTACGATTTAAATTATTTTTCCTATTTGGTGGAGGTGGCAACAATGCATTTCCGTGAATTGATGAGTTGTGAGAATATGTACTATCCCTACTTGAATCTCTACTATGTTGAATAGAAGATCGACTTGATCCTGAATCAGGAGGGTTAAAAAATGACTGTGGTAAGTTACGATTCCGCATTGGAGTGTGTTTTATGTTTAGATCATAATTAGGATTAATCGCTGCAGAAAATAACCGCTCTAACTCAGAATCGCTATTTTCTCTTATATGAACAATTTGATTTGAAGGTTGGTGCAGAGGCTGAATAGGCAAAGATCTAGATTTATCCTTTACCTCATCCATTGTGCAATTTTATATAACTCCTGAGATTTATATCATGAAATAAACATCAATGTTTCTTAATTTTGTTAATTCAAATTAAGCATATGTTTACAAGCTATAATGTGGCGGAATGATCTAACAATGCGTATCTTGAACAATGAATTATATCGCATTTTCAAATAATGATAGACAGAAGATGATACTGACAACTACTGTCAAATTAAAAAAATTAATTTTTTAAAACATGATTTTGACAAATTTATTTAATTTTTTATGGATATATTATATAATTAAATTATTTATTTATTTTAATTCTTTAAATAGATAGAATTTTTAAACTGCATTTTTTATTATATAATTTAACCTAGTGGAATATATTATTAGAAAACTACAATAATACCATAGATTCAGAGTTGTGCCGTACCGCGAATGTATCTTGTACTCAGTATATTTTTGACATTTTTTATAAGATACTAGTATCTGTATCTAAGATCTTTTATTCTGAAAAGAATCTTGTATCTTTGTCATTTTCATTTTTTGACAAAAGATACAAATACAGATTATTTTTAATATCATGTTAAAATTTTACATATCACAGTATATATCTTATTTTCTTCGAGAATCTTGTATTAATTTCCTTATTTTTTTCCACCATATTTTAAATATAATGACAATCAAAATTAGCTGGAAAATTTGCAACTAAATATTAAGGTAGTTAGATAAAAAATAACAACACTAAAACAAAATAAAAGATTATATTTTTTATATTCCCGTGAATTAAATCCAAATCTTAAAATTTTCTAGCGAAATTTTTTTTAAATAAAAGTTAAAACAGATTTACAGGTTAGATATAAAACCTGTATAAACAAAAATATGATAAATGATTAAACACAAATTTTGTTAAACATATTAAAGTAATTTATGTGCGGTTAAAAGTGGTATAGGTTATCTTAAATAATCAAGTTTACAGCGATGTCTACCTTTATTAGAAGCTACCTAAGGTTGTATGGGCAATAGATTTTAAGAAAAATTTTCCTAGGATTTGAATAAAATGAGACTTTTTTTACATCAATATCACATCCATATTTTAAGAACTTATGGATTAAGTAGATGATAAAAAAATACTTTCAAAATTTATTAATAAAAGACGCCCTAAATGTAGTACCAGAGTATATAATCAAGCTTAAACTATAATACCAATAGATTAACATCTAATAAATAAAATGATGATTATTTTTCTTTTGGGGATGTATCTGAGCTCAATAATACATATAACATTGAACTCGAGGTTTTAAATTATATTAAAGAATGTCGAAATACATTATAAATGCTTAATTATTATCCTTTCATTAAGGAAATTTTTTATAAATATAATACTGCAATACCTTAATCAGCTCCAATTGAAAGGTTATTTTGTTTTGGCATAATGTTAAGTAGGCCGAAACGGCAAAGGTCTAATAATAAATTATTTGAAAAATTTGATTATCTTATAAAATAATGAATCTATTTTAAATACTCTCTTGCAAATTAATATTTCAACTCTCATTTAAAATACTAGTTTCCCTTCCCTATCTATGCTAAGAATGGGCTATTACTAATATTAAAATACCTGATTATTATAATTAACTCATCATTAAATATCTGATGGAAACCTACTATTAAAATTAGCAAACGTTATGCTACAAGTAAGCACCTATGGGTAGCCCATTATCGAAAGCGTGAATGGAGCTTTCTAATCAAGTTCCTGAGAGATCTGGGGTAAAAGAAAAAAATTCTTTGACAGTATTAATTCATGTACAATCAATGCCTAGATTTCAAAGGTCTACACCATTTCCACAGTTTCATTTGACGTGTTATGCATGTGGGATAACACAACGCAGTTAATTGTCCATCCAATCAAGGTTACGTTAATTCAATTTTTCATAATCCAGGAACAATGCAAGGGATTCAACTTGTTCAAATCATATCTCAAGCCGCCCCTTAAGCTACCCCCAAATTAATGATGAGTAAGAACATATCGTTGGTGCCTATAGATAAAAGAAAAAATTTCAGATTTCTATGAAAAAAATATATGAACAGAAAAGACCATTAATTATTCCTAAGACTATTGTGGGTACCGAGGAACTCCAAGAAGAATTCGCAGAAATGGCGATTAATGAGGTGATCGAATAGGAGAATATTTTGAAATTAATAGTTTTTTTTTTAAATGTATAATAAAATAGTTTTTAAATGTTTAATACAATAGTAGAAATAGTGTTTTTTAAGTATATATAAATTTGTTTAATATGCCTAAGAATACCTTTGAAAAATAAGGGAAGTGTTCTAGGTATATGTTTTTGTGTTGTATTATTGATATTATTATATTTGTTATTATTGATATTTATTAATATTTTTTTAAAAAAATCGAATTTGTGATATTATGAATTATTATATTTTTTGCTTTTGGTTAATGTTATAAATAGTTCAAAGTATAATGTTAGAAGTTTATGTATATGCATGCCAGAGTTGTTAAACGCTATTTTTAAAAGTAGCGCGCTACCGCTATAGCTATTTGTCAAAAAAAGTAGCGCGCTACGGCTTTCGCTATTTGTCAAAAAAAATAGCGCGCTATTAGCTACTTTTTTTCAAAAGTAGCTTTAGCTACTTTTAAGCTACTTTTTATAAAAAAAAATTTAGAAAAATTGAAACAAATTTTTTTTAATTTTTTTTTTGCTTATAATGTAAATGTATAATAAATAATATATAAAAATCAACATTTATAAATATAAAAATATAGTTAGTTTAGATTATAAAAAAATAAGCAATATAAATAAATATTTATTTTAATTTGTTGCATTTTAATAATATCATTTCAATATTATCATCCCCAAGTCTAGAGCGACTATAAGCTTTGCTTTACTAAATAATCTCTCGACACTAGCACTTGAGGGCAAGGGGATATTTAATTTTATATATAAATTTTTAATATATGAAAAATTATCAAAAATATTCGTTTCAATATTTTTTGATTGAAAAAAAAGATCAATTAGATTTTCTATTAAATCATCTTTAATTTCAAAAAAATTATTTGAGGATGTCTTCGTGGTAGATACTCGGCAATCTATGTTTGTTGTAGTAAGATTATTCAGCTTCGCCATTAGCCTATCGCAACCAAGGACAATGGCTGAACCGTGTCAATAATAAAATCAACAATTACTTTATCAGCCAATTTTTATGAAATATTGGCATGTTTATTATCAGTTAATTTGGTTTGGATAGTATTTGTTTTTTGAATGAAGATTCTCCTATACCAAAATTTTTTATATGTTTCTCTATTTCCTTATAGCAAGTCTAATAAAATAAATAATATTATAATGTAAAAATAACAATTTACCTTTAGGTGTTTTTTCAGGTTATAGCTACTCGATTGATTTGATGATATTTTCTTTTTACATTTTAAGCACAGGAATTTGAATCCAGTTGTTTTAATATTTATTTTAAAAAATTTTTCAAATCTAGGGAATGGGAAATCGTTATTAGAGCTATTAAGTACATTTTCTTCCATTGAATCTTCCATGTCTGAATCATTTTCAAGGATTTGGTTATCCATGGGCGATGCCATTTTAGATTATTAACACAGATTGAAAATATAAATTAAAAATTGAAAATATATTTAAATTTCAAAATTAAATAATAAATTATAAAAATTATAATTAATTATGATATTATATTTAAATTTTCATGTTTATACTTACATTCATTATATTTTTTAAAAGTAAGCGAAGTAGCACGCTACTTAGCTACTTTTAAAAAAAGTAGCGCGCTAATTAAATAATTTTAAAAAAAGTAGCGGCTATTAGCTATAGCTACCAAAAAAGATAGCGCGCTACTTTAACAACTCTGATGCATGCGTCATATTGTAAAAGGTAAATTAATTAAAATATTTTTGATTTTATATATATAAATATTAATTTACATATGCAAATATGTTAAAAAATTTGAAAGTTATATAAATGAAAGGAATTGGCCATTTGATATTATTTTAGATCCAAGGAAAAGGGAGGAAAGGGATCCATCATTTAATAAAAAGTCTCATATGAATATTGGGATCAGAAATTTTGTTAATATCTAAAATCTAGGATTATGATTGATAGGAAAGAAGTGTATCTGGGATTATATTAAAAGAAAAATATAAAGAATATATTTTGGATATAATTTTCGAAAAAATGGTTGAAGATTTCTATTGTAGCTCCAAAAAATAAATTATTATTCTTACAAAATACTAACTTTTACGATAGTTCCGAAAAATAAATTTCATTATTCTAGAAATTATTTATTAACCAAAAGCAAAATACATAATAATTCATATAATCACAAATTCGATATTTTTAAAAAAATATTTAATAACTATTAATAACAATAAATATAATAATATCAATAATACAACACAAAAACATATACTTAGAACACCTCCCTTATTTTTCAGAGGTATTCTCAATATACTTTAAAAAAAACTATTTCTACTATTGTATTAAACATTTAAAAACTATAATATTATGCGTTTTTATAAAAAACTATTAATTTCAAAATATTCTTCTTATTCGATCACCTCATTAATCGCCATTTCTGCGAATTCTTCTTGGACATCCTCGGTACCCACATAGTCTTGGGAATAATTGATGGTCTTTTCACCTTCTATTCATATATCTTTTTCATGGGAATCTTCCGGATGTTGAAATTTTTTCTTTTATCTATGAGCACCAACGATATGTTCTTACTTAACATTAATTTGGGGGTAGCTTAAGGGGCAGCTTGAGATATGATCTGAACAAGTTGAATCTCTTGCATTGTTCCAGGATTATGAAAAATTGATTTGATTGGATGGACAATTAACTGCGTTGTGTTATCCCACATACATAACACGTTAAATGAAACTGTGGAAATAGTGTAGACCTTTGAAATCTAGGCATTGATTGTACATGAATTGGTACTGTCAAAGAATTTTTTTTCTTTTACCCCAGATCTCTCAGGAACTTGATTAGAAAGCTCCCCACGCTTTCTATAATGAGCTACCCATAGGTGCTTACTTGTAGCATAACATTTGCTAATTTTAAATAGTAGGTTTCCATCAGTTAATAATTAATAAATACTAAAT